GCCTTGACACCATTGATGGCGTACAAGAGCTTGGGGTCCTAAATCGTAAGGTCAGTCAATACGCTTTGAGCTTGTCCGGATTATGTTGCGCGCCCGGTGCCGTACGTTATGTCCCGAAGCCATGTTTGTGATGCGCAAAGCAGGCGCGAACTTCTGGAGACTTGGCTGCCTCAGATCAGCGTCTCAAATTGCGACTGGCGCAAAGAAGAAGCGTGAGAAATCAAGACGTAGGGGTAGCTAGGTTGAGAAGGGGGGGAGCGCGGGGTGTTTGGGGTCGGCTTTTGTGATGCTGGAAGGATTTGGTCGGAAATGTAGCTGCAGGCTGGTGGTAGGTGCAAGTAAGCGACAAGAAGGGTGACGAGGAGCAGACGCGACGACTATTCGCCAAGGAGGATCGAGCGACAAGGTGCTTCGAGTTTGAGTAGGGTAGGTGGAAGTCGAGTCGTGAGAATTGTGACGAGATTCGCAGGTTTAAAGGTTGGGTTGGGGTGTGGTGATGGCAAAGTCGGTTGGATTGGACGAGATTGAAACTACGTGCATGGCATGGCGCTTAAGTCGGTGCTGCTGCCGGTGCTGCTTCTTTCTTTAGCTCCGGGGCAGCTTCCACCTCAGCAGGTCACCCACTCTCGTCACTCGTCACTCGTCACCCGTCACTCGCTGCTGTTGGTGCTGTCCCTTTCTGTGTCTGAGGTGGTCTGGATCCCGATTCCCTGGACGTGCCCGAGAGGCCTCTCTGAGGCGGGCGACGTCATTGGGTGTGCTGGGCAGTGGTGTTCCAGGCACTTCCCAGTCTCGGTCCCCGGTTCAGTGCACACAGTCCACACTGGCATTTTAGCTCTTGTGCCACCACCGACTAACATGGAGTAAAACGGGACGACATTGACGACCCCTTTTGCCCCCGTCCGCCATTCCAATCGGTGTCCCTCAGTCACCTCCAACCGTGGCATACAACAGCTGTGAAGCTCCAGCGGTGTCCGTTGTGTTTGATAGTGGGGGTTCCTGGCTTCTGGGGCGTGCACAGCCACCTGCGACCGGCGCCTTCCACTTTACCTTGTTGCTCCTCCTCTCACCTGTGGACCTGCTAAACAGTAAGGTAGGTGCTAGTGCAGAGCTCCGGCCACCGCTTGAACCCCTCAGTGGTCCCTTAGTCCCTGGAGTCCTCTCGGCAGCTGTCACTGCACTGACACACCCCCCTGTGTTTTCTGGCGCGCCCCACCCGCTCTGCCTCTAAAACCGCTGTGAAGGGTAGAGTGGGCAGCCACCCGGTACGTACTTTCCCCTCGCTACCAACCGCCGTCGTCATTTTTTGCCATCCAACGGGCGAAAAAGACGGTTGAGACAAGTCCATCCATTCATCGGCGGTCCAGTTCTTTCTTTGATCAGCATTGTTTCTTGCTCGCCTGGTCATCAGGCTGGGAGGCGAATCTCAAATTCGCTTCCAAGGTTGCAAATCTCCCTCCCTAGAGCCCCGTCCGATGTTTGTCTCGGTTTTCGACACTCAATTTGCCAAGTGGGCAGTGTTCAACTGCGAATACGGGGCCCTTTGAGCAAATGCTCCGTTGCCAAGAAACCATCACATGGAAATCAGCATTTGATATTTCCATTTGCTGCCTGCTGTGTCCACGCAATCACTCCCGGCATTGATATTCTTTCCACCATCCCCCAGCCTCAACCAACAGTCTCGGCACATCATCATGGAGAAGCTGGACCACAAACTTTCGCCTCGTTGCACCAAGCGTATTCTGTCAGACTCTCCCTCCTAACACGCGTCGACCGCTTGCGCATTGCATTTTCTTGGCATCATTGGACGAAGCTGTCCTTTTTATGACAAGTGTTGGTAAGAGCTGCTTGTATCTTTTCCAGCCTCCACCTCAAGCTATTTACGACCAAGACGGTACATCCTCGACTCCAGATATGTTTGCCCTTATACTTTCATCCACTGTTCAAGTTGAACACTTGAACAGCTTGGTGGTTCCCAAAGTTGAATATTTTCAGCTAGTCCTGAAAGCAAAAATGAGTCGTGAATTTTCCTAGCTACGAAGCCAGCCTATTTAGTATTACGATGTCTGCTCTCTAGTGGGAGCAAGTGTGTTCTCGACATAAGTTTTACGCAAGCAAGGTTTCCAGAATGCTGAGTCTGTTCTCGCGTTGAAGACAATCTTCACGACTGAGGTAGAAGTCTGCCTCGTTCTAACTCGTTCTGTCGCTTGGGCCGTTGGCATGTTATTGATGAGAGTCACGAGATGCCCTCATGATAACCCAGACCCCAACAATTCACCGTTGGTATTTGTCCAGCTAGTGCTTTGACCTGGGATCGAGGTTAGACAGTAGGGAGATCAGTAATGCCATGTGCCTTTGGTGGATGGGTTAAGTGGTGATTCTCCAGGCTTTTCCAGATGGCGATAAGATGGCGGCGGGATGCACATTGACAGTCAGGTTGACTTTTCCCAAGAGGCTGCACGGCAGGAACAAAACTGGCAGGCGCTCGGTTGTCATAAAATCGATGCAAGTGCGAGAGGAAGCCATAAGTATGACCTTCAGACGATATTGACCAACGTGTACAATATAACAGACAGTCCCTTGCCAAGATGTGGGTTGTCGCGTTCCCGAGGAAAGAGAGATTGAAGCTGGCCCGTCAGAGGCCCGACCAAGTATTCAGAGCTCATTGCTCGAGTTCAAGGAATTGACGGGCTTTCTCTCGCGTCAACGCTACCGCTTAGCTTTCCCCAGAATAACGCATTGAAGGAGATTCTCCAATGCACACCTGATTTCGGCGTTTTTCCGCAAATTTTGATCGTGGTCACTATTTGGTTGGAAATGGCAGGGCAACAGCCAGCAGAAAGGCCAAGGAGAAGTAAAGTAAAACAATGACAGCAAGCAACGCAGACACATTGGCAGAGCCGGCCAAGAAAAGCACAGAGAGGCGGAAACAGGCGAGCAGTATATCGTCCAGTCGCATCATGTCTGTCTCGTTGCCGTCCTCGGCACGAATTCTCTCATCAAACGTGGAGATTTGTTCTCACGGCCACGCCGAGATATCTTTTTGAATCGAAGTTCGATCTCTCGAGGTTCATTATGTGTCTCGCCCACGAAAAGTCGACCATGACGGCGTACATACTGATAGTGGAGAGGACCAAGAAGATACAATTATGATCAGTCACAGCGGCGGCACAAACGAGCATTTGGCATCGGTATGCCGTGTCTCTGCAAACTATTTGAAGCTGTCGAAATTCGCCGCACCAATCACGATTCGCCAAGTTCCAGATCCGACTAGACCGCCGTGATGCATTCCTCCTCGGACGGCCTAGCGGCGCCGGCTGAGCGGGCTTCAGCTTGCTGCAAGAACGCCAATAGCTTCTCCGAGAGCACTTAAAATCTCTCCGACCGAAGAGCTGACAACGAGTGGCTGTCGTGCGAGCTGCTGAAAGCGAAGCGCTGTCAACCACATCACTTGTGTCGGCGATATCTTGTCACAAACGGGGTCTCCGAGATGCTTCATGAGCCGAGAATGGTGTCTCCGAACTGAGTACACATCCACACACGCAAACATGGCATCCGCGTTGTTTCTTGGTTGGCGGCGATGGATACGGAGCCACGACGATGCCACACGGGCATCGCGATGAGATTCGACGATAGAGCTGTCGGTGCTGTAGTTCGTTGGGTTCAAAATGAGTATAAAACCTCACCTTTAGGGTGCCTAGGTATTGTTCTCATGTTTCTATGATCATCATCGCCTCCTTACCCTCATTACCACCGCCCAGAAACGTATTCCTGAAGTACTGCATCATTAAGAGCATCACAACATTAAGATGATATCAACAAACAACCACCTCAAGCTCTCCTCTCCCCTGACCCTCCCCTTACAACAACTCAACCATGCCCTCACCACACTCCGCTACCACACCCACACCCTCTACCTCTTCACCAGAAACGACATCAAAACAATGCTCATCCCCCTCTCCGCCCTGGGCATCCTCACTTCCCTCCCCGGGGACCCTCTAACCTCCCACCCAACATCTCTCCCAACCATTCTCGCAAACCTGCCCGCCCTCCTCCTCTGGCTCTGGCTCAACATCCTCATCCTCTCCGTCTCCAACCAGCGCGACCCGGCCGGCGTGCTCGAGGACAAGCTCAACAAGCCCTGGCGCCCCATCCCCGCCGGCCGCGTCTCCGCCGCACAAGCCAGGCACCTCCTCCTCGCCGCCGTGCCCCTCACCCTCGCCCTGAGCTTCCGCCTCGGCGTCGGGTCCGAGACGCTGGCCTGCATCTGCGCGAGCTCCTACTATAACGACCTCGGCGGCGCCGACGAGCACTTCCTCATCCGCCAGCTCGTCAACGGGCTCGCGTACCCCGTCTACGGCGTCGCGGCGCTGAAGATCCTCATCGCAGACGTAGGCGTGGCCGAGATCCTCCTCCCGGGCGCGTACGCGTGGCTGGGCCTGCTGGGCCTCGTCGTGGGCACGACGATCCAGGTCCAGGACCTGAAGGACTACGAGGGCGATAAGGCGCGCGGGAGGCACACCTTCCCCGTGATCCTCGGGGACGCCTTCACGAGGTTCAGCATCTGCGTGGGCATCATGTTCTGGTCGCTCGTTTGTCCTGCGTTTTGGGGCATCGTGCAGGTCCGCGTGGCCGGGTGGGTGTGGCTTTCCGGGGCCCTTTTAGCGGCGAGGATATGGTGCTGCAGGGGGCCAGAGGCGGATCGGCTGTCTTTTGTGATGTGGAGTTGGTGGGTGATGGTGTTGTTTGTGCTTCCTCTCATGGGTGTGGCGTGAAGCGGCGGCCATACTGTGAGGCTACACGACGAGCTGGGGAAAGGGGCAACGCTGAAGGGCATCATGACGGGCACCGTGATGGTGATGATGAAAAGAAAAACAAGTCTATCGTTAAGCAGCCTTTCGTAAGACGCAAAGTCAGCCTTTCTGGCTGGATGGGTATAATTATAATACTACAAGCAATTAAGTGAGATGTTCACCGTCCATCCATGATTCGTCCGATATTCAAGCCGACTGCCCGTCACCGCTGACAGGACCCTGTCCAATAGGCCACTGGGGCTGTCCCATCGGGCACGAAGTTCCATCTGCAGCGGCCTTGATGATATCCGCCGCCTTCTCCGCCACTGCGTACACAGCCGCCTGGATATGTCCGCCTGGGATCATGGGCATGATGCCGGCGTCCACAATACGGAGGTTGCAAGTCCCGTACACCATCAACTCAGAATCCACAACACCACCAAGGTCCTTCGGCAACATGCTCGTCGTGCCGCTAGGGTGATACTCCGTGCCCACCAGCGGCTTCAGCGCCGCCATGAGCTCTCGCTCGTCGGTAGAGTTGTACTTGGCGTCGACTACTGGCAGGAGCGGCTTCATGGCGTCGGTGGCCATCAGCCTCTGCGTGAGCTGGAGGCCGAGTCTGATGATCTTGCAGTCGAGAGGGTCGGCGCAGTAGCGAGGGTCAACGGCGGGGGCGTCGTAGACGGAGGACGAGGATGGCCGGACGGTGCCGCGAGATAGGGGCTTCTGGTTTGCGATGGAGATTTGACCCCATGATGCGGCCAGGAGTTCGTATGCGCCGACGTCTTCGCGGGCCAGGTGGTTTAGTAGTAACGCCTTCTGCTTTGCGTAGCCGGCTGCCACAGCGGACGGGGTGTCGAGAGGAAGGAAGTCGAATGATTGGTTCTTTGAATGGGCGAGAAGGGTTCTCCACTCGTCAGCGTGATACTTGAGCGCTGGGAAGGCGACAGTGTTGATCAAAGGCGTTGTCAAGGGACCTGAGAAGGTTAGCTTCACATTGTTATGGGGAAGGGCGCTACTTGCCCGTCTTGTTGGCCAAGAACTGGTCCAGCGCATCTTCAAGTGTGTCGCCGTTGAGATCATTAGAAGTGAAAACAGATGCATTAGAGTCTTAAACCATGTTAGATGGAAGCAGAAATTAGGCAGGTTCCTGGGTACTCACAATCATATGGGAATCTAGCCATGGGATGATCTTGAAAATTGTTTCCGACTCCGGGCAGATCGATCTGCGTGGAAATATTCAAGGATTCCAAAACTTGACGAGGACCAATGCCGGAGACTTGAAGAAGAACAGGCGTCTGGATGGCCCCGGCGGCCAGTATGACTTCTTTGTTCACAGTGACGGTTCTGTTAATATCCGACAGACCAGATGAAAGCTTATACTGTCAGAACTCGTGGGACCAATATGTAACTTGTGACAACGACTTACCTCGACGCCGATGATGCGGCGGCTTTCCTGGTTGGTCAGGGAGCCGGGCAACCCTACGATCAGCCGCGTGGCCATGTGACCAGTGACAACGTGGAAGTTGGAGCGCGCGTTGGCTGTGTCGAAGTAGCCAGTCCTCGCATCAGATCTCGTCTGGTTTGTGGGGGACATGCTCGAGGCGACGATCATAGCGCCGGTCGGGTCACCCGAGTTGACGTCGTTGGATGTATGGATACCGACTTCGGCAAGACCTTGGAGAACGCTGCCTGTTTTCGATTAGCTTCATATCATGCCAAACCTAGGCGGTATTTACTGGATGTGTTGTAGATATGATCCGGGTACGCCACGTTGATGGGACCGTTGGTTCCATGGAAAGACATGTTGGGCTTGATGTTGAACTCGTCACGAATGCCTTGACCCACGTTGGTCGTGTACTTCTCAACCTAAGATGTGCGTCAGAATTCTGGTACCACCTCAGTTCAAGAGTTGTATACCTTCTTGAAGTATGGCAAAAGGCCTTTCCATCCCCAACCGTCGTTGCCGAGCTCCTCCCAGGCGTCGAAGTCGGCAGCGGCGCCTCGGGTCCAGCACATTCCATTCACAACCGATCCACCACCAACGACTTTCCCCTGGTTGATGTCTCGCGTCTTTCCGTCCAAGAAGGTCTGGGGCGCGGTGAGGACATCTTGACCATAGCCGGAGGGGGGCGTACGTCCAATGTACCCTGGGATGATGACCCGACCCTCGCGGCGGTCACTGGTGAATTGTTAGCTTGTTTTCACAATAAAGCGAGCAACAGTCTGAAAATAAAATACTCACAGGTCGCCGGCCTCGATTACGAGGACAGTCGCTGTATCTGGTTAACATGACGGCCCATAGTTGGCAAAGGGGTAATTACCATCGGAATTCTCGCTGAGCCGGTTCGCGACAACGAGTCCGGAGAGGCCGCCACCAGCAACGACGTAGTCGTACTCATCGAGAAGAAATTTGTCAATGGTCTGATTGGTGATGTGGAGGGCACTCGAGTAAGGAAGGAGCAGCGAGAGGGCAAAACAAAACAAAATTTTGAAAGGATGCATCTCGCACGCCGCCCAAATCGCCCAAAGAAATCAAAATAATACCTCCAATAAAGAAGAACAAGAAAGCCTCCGAGTCCGATTATTGATGTTGTGTGTTGGAAGGGGGGACAAAAAGAGGTCGACTTGGTGGGGTGAGAGAGGTGAATGAGTGTAAGAGGATCTGAGACCGTCGCTCGGTGTAAAAGAGTGGAAGGAGTGAGGCAGCACTTGCTCACCGACGCACCTTCAGTGAGCCATCCGCACCTCGAGAGATCCTATAAGATATACTCGAACTTCTTCTTGAGTGCTTTCTTCCATTCGAATCGTCGACTTTTAGGGTCCTTCCCCACGGTAATCTCTTGAGCACCTTTGCTCGGCAAGACATGACATGACTACGAGATAGGAGGACTGCTGCAGAAAGGCCGTCGACCCACGATAAATTTCCTTAGCAGCAACATCCAAAAAGATCTGAACACACGCTGGAAATATCTGTGGGTTCTAGCTCGCAACGTTTTCTTCGTCTGACCATTTTCATCGTGGGCGTCGGTTCAGCCCGCTGATCCTGCTTGCTTTTCCGGGTCGCCGCCCCTCTATAATACAGAATTGACTGAGACAAACACGCGGGTTCATGGATACGTGTTGAGACAAAGCAAACAAAAATACATCAACGGTAATTATGAGTTGGTCATGTGATGATGCCGGCAGAAACCGCTACCAGGGACGAAGCTTGCCAGGCCGTTGGTCATGAATGCGCGACGCTGACTGCTGTCAGGTTTGATAATCATACACAGCCGCAAACAAGCAAATGTCGATCAATTAGCACTTGTTGATCGGTGTAATGTGCGGTTAAACACTACATACCTATCACCCAGGTTGCTCTGTTATTTACGAAATAAACAGCCAAGCATTCTCCCTGGAAACGTTATTGGCGAAAACAAAGCTTACAGAGCAACTTATGCTCGCTACTCAAGTTATGTATCGCATGACCCGATCAGCAGATCCTTTAAAATATACTCACGTTACTGGAGCTTTATGCTTTTAATTAGACGCTGCTATGCAGCTGGCACGAAGAACTCTCACCCAAACTTGGCAGGTGAAGGACGCTGTGACTGGTCTAACGCAGGGGAATCCGAACGAGCGACCTCACTCACTACCTAGGAAGAGAGAAAGGTCTGTACACTAGAAGTATTTCGCCATGAATGCTTTCGAGTCGCACCCCACGTTGAATGAATGGCAATTATTTTCTCTGTAACCCTTCGGCAGTGTGCCTGAAAGATCCATAACGAAGGCAAAGAAGATGGAGAGAAATCACGTATTGAAAGGAGCAAAGAAGAAAAAAAGAATCGTCCCCGGTCAGACTCGAACTGACGACCAACGGACATTATATATGAGACTGGGAGCACGGGTTCATAGATTGAGCAAACAAGCCAGGAAACAAGAAATCAAATTAGGTATCATGTCTGGTATGACGGTGCCCGTCGGTAGACCGTGTGAAGGGATGTTCCCGATCACTAACTTGATCGGACTTTGACGCTTCACCGAAATCAACGACAAAATCTGTTCGTTTTGCTTGGAAGCAAGGGCCGCTGATGTGCGACGGATGCCAGGTCGATCAATACATTTGCGGCCGTTGGTTGGGGCGAATCACTGTCTTGTTCGACCTTTTGCTCGTATTCGATGGTCACTCAAACACTATGACGAAAAACAACAGTTCAACACAGAATTATGAACGCTGGCCTCCGGATGGAGCTTTCCTCGGACTCTGACTCTCAAGTCCAGAGAGATGAAGGAAGGCGAATGCTGCCGTCGTTGACCGAAGAAGGTGCCATCGCCCCACTCAAATTGGTATTGGGCCAATAGGAAGCTCCCTGATGTAATCCGACCACCACTGCTACCTCGAGCTTCAATTCTGACGCAAGACTCCTGACATGATCTCATCCAGTTCACACGAACGAGTTTGCAAGATGCAAGCGTTGGCAAGAGCGATTAACAGAAAGAATGGGATTCCCAGGAGAGCCATGCGGCCTCCCAGACGATCCCTCCATCTTGCACCACCCTTCCTCCTCGATGACTATATACCACGGTACATGATGTTGTCCTCCATCGATGAATCCAAAAAGCGCTCCAAGGCGTACCATCACCTCTCAAAATGCAATCTCTGTCCGCGCCTATGCGGCGTCAACCGTTTCGAGACGACGGGAATGTGTCTGATTGGCGATAACACAAAGGTCAATGTGATTGCGCCTCATTTCGGTGAAGGTCTGGAAGCAGCCCTCCCAAAGCAAGGGTGCCGCACACTGACCAGCCGTCACAGAACCATGCGTCCAGGGGCACAATGGAAGTGGCGCGGTATTCTTTTCCGGCTGCAATCTCCGCTGCGTCTTTTGCCAGAACCATGACATTGCCCATCAGCGCAATGGCCAGGACCTGACACCCGAGGAGCTGGGCGAGTGGTACATCAAGCTGCAGCAGGTCGGCCGCGTCCACAACATCAACCTCATCACTCCGGAGCACGTGGTTCCCCAGGTTGTCTTGAGCATCCTGCATGCCAGGCACCTAGGCTTGAAGGTGCCCATCATCTACAATACCTCGAGTTTCGATTCGCCCGAGTCGTTGGAGCTGCTCGATGGCTTGGTTGACATCTATCTCCCTGACTTCAAGGTCTGGGAAACCAGCACATCCAAGCGTCTCCTGAAAGCAGACGACTACGCGACCACGGCGCGCGAGAGCATCAAGGCGATGCACGCGCAGGTTGGCGATCTTTGCTTTACTGGCGACGGCATCGCCAAGAAGGGCCTCCTTGTACGCCATCTGGTCATGCCAGGGAAGGAAGCAGAGGGACACAAAATCATGGAATTCCTGGCCAAGGAGGTTTCCAGGGATTGCTTTGTCAACATCATGGAGCAGTATCACCCAGACGCCCACGTTGGCAAGGCCAAGAGACGTCCCAAAGCCGGGGCCGCCAGCACCGAGTCTGGTGGAGAGGAGGTTCGATACAGTGAAATCAATCGAGCCGTGTCGGATAACGAGATCTCCTCTGTCCGGAAGGCGGCGGAAGCAGCTGGTCTGTGGCGATTCTGTGACCCGCCTCGCCATGATGGTTTCAACATCTGAACCCCCTTGCATCACAAGACAAACGCCAGCATGCTTCTTGGCACCTCATGAAGGAAATATGGTGGCATTTGGCTCCTCGCAGTCGGCGGCGAACTGAAATTGGTGTCATCATGCCAGGCTCGTTGCTTCTATGCCGCAGCCATGCCGACGTCGCGTGGCAACCCTCGGGTGTGCTGATTCCCTTGAAGTCGTGATCAATTACACCTACGTTCTCGTTGATACCATCATAAGGACTACTACGAGAACCACGGGCCTCTTTAACAACAAGCGGACGCTGACTTTTGCAGATGGTATGGGTCAAGAGTGTCAAGCAAAGTCCGAGGTTTCCCACCCTGTACCATGTTGTTGGAACCAACAAACGTTGCCGAGTGCCGAGCACCACGCGTCTGATCATGTTCAATGCGGGGGCTCCATTGTTCGAAGCTCTCATCAAATTAAAAGGCAGGCTGCCAAGCCAGTTTGTTCTCTCGTCAAAAACGCCTCCTCATCCTTTGCGTACACAGCTAAATCTGGACCCCTTTGGCTCTTTCCTTTATTGAGAAAAATCGGACGAGAGCCTTGACGTCCCTTATTAGAGGGATGATCCTAAACCGTCAACTAAGTTTGCGGGCAGGCAAATCCATCCTTGTCACAACTTGATCAGTTTTGGATACAGTGGGAATTTCTGCAGCGGAAAGTCCATCTATATCTAAAGTGATAATGTCGAACACACCCTCAGGACCTCTCCTCGTTTCTCTATCACCAGTCTACAGGCTCAGACATGGAACAACACGTCCAAGCAGCGGTCTTCACGCCTCAATCTGTACAGAATCAAGATGCGTCAACCACATCTTCCGAAGATTCAACAAGCCACCATAGCTGTCTACCCCGCCGCAAGGGTTCTGTCACAGCATATCCAAGCTCCCAAACAGCTTCTTTTAGGAGCAATGTCAGGCGAGGTCGAACGATGCCAGTCAATAACATATCACTCAACACGAGAGTCAAGCCGGCCTGGTCGGTCTTCACGTCTCCCGGCTCGTTCGAGCAACTGTACAACGAGAGGGCATACCTCAACGCTTCTCTCAGGGGCCAGGGTGAGCGCTCATTCGAGCTCATGAGAAGGCTCACCGTCTTGCATGAGCAGATGGACAACTTCTTGCCATCTGACGAGCGGCGAAGGTCTCGAAAGAAAGCCGCCTTGATCAAGAGCAAGATCACGGAAGCCGCCGCACAGGAGAAGGCGATTTCCATCCGACTCTGTGATATCAATGCGGAGCTCAACATCCGAGAGCGATGGATGCAGGTTCAACACGAAATCTATGAGCAAAGATATTGCTACTGGGCCATGGAATCACCCGTGACGGGTTACATGGCATCCCCAACGGACCTAGCCTCGGTCGTCTCCACGCCGCTCGATGCCGCTTCGCCCGTCTTCTTCCCGGTGGGATACTATCCCATTTACAGCCCAATGCAAATGATGCCGTGTCGTGAGCCGGAGGCGTCGCCCCCTGAGATGTGGGCCAGCAACGAGATGAACGAGACACCGATCGACGCACTGGGAAATCACGGCCTGCAATTCTGCTATGACAACCCCCCGAGCCATGTCCGAACGGCTGACGAGACATCCCGCGAGCTCCCGGGGGTGGATATGGTGAACAAGAGGGGGCGGAGGATGAGTCTGCCGCCACTGAGATGTATTTGGCCCGGACAACAAGAAGATTGACAATTGGCTTGAGGCCATGGTCCTCACGGCACGAAAAAAGTGTTGGTTGAAATTGTTGATATGGTGCTTTTGTCAAAACATGCCAATGGATGCATGTATAATAGCTAGGCAAACGACGCAGGGAATCTCTTGCTCAAATCAGTCCTTCCTCCTATGCGCCCCCCTTTTAGTGTATCGCAGCTACCGCCCCTCAGGCGAACTCTCCAAACTGTCCATCGTCGAATCCCAGATCCTGCGCAGATTTCCTCTTCTCCCGCTTCTGGTCCCGCACGCTCTGTGAACTCGGCGGCGGCGGCAGGAAGCTTCCGTTCCCGCTGCTCTTGGGCGCAGCAGGCGGGGGCGGTAACGAGAAAGCCTGCAAGCTCGCGCCGTCAGGCGGTCCCGTCAACGACGCGGCCGAGGGCCCCCTCGACCGCCTCCCGAGCTTGGAGCCGCCAAAGTTGATGGTGATGGTCTCGCCCTCCTTCAGACTGTAGTCCTTGGTCTTCTCCTCCTCGGCGCGCTTGCTGTTCTCGGCGGCCTGCTTGGCATGGCTCGCGTCCAGCAGGCCCAGGCTCTTCTGGGCCTCCTGCAGGGCGACGCCAAAGTCGAAGGCCTCGCTGCGCTCCTCGAAGCCGATGCCGAGGACGGCCTTGCGGCCCTGGCCGTCCTGGACGCGGACGGCGAAGAAGCGGGAGGAGTCGAGGACGGGCTCGACGACGGTGATGGAGGTGTAGGGGGCGGCGGCGAAGAGCTGGCCGTTGGAGGGGTCCTCGAGGACGATGTCGACCTTGATGTGGTTCTCCTTGGTGGTGATGCCGGCGGGGGCGCCCGGGGCGACGGGGATGACGGCGCTGCCCGTGGCGCCGACGGGGACGGGCTGGGCGGCGGCGGCGGTCTCCCAGGCGGTCTCGAGGACGCGCAGGCGGGCGGTGAAGATCTGGCGTTCGGTCCAGCCGGCGGCCGTGTAGCCCTTGTTGGAGGCCAGGGGCGGGATGTTGTAGACGTGGGCGCCGGAGGCGAGGAAGAGGATGCGCTGGATCGCGTCGGCGGGGAGGGGCGCGCCGGTTGCGGGATCGGTGGTCTCCATTGCTTGCTCTCTTCTGGCTTGTGTGGTGAGTTGGGGTGAGCTTCTCGTCTAGATCGTTCGTTCAGGGAGGAGGAGGTTGCTGGGGAGGGCAGGCTCGACGACGGGTGTGTCGGTGGGAAGCAGCAGGTGAGAGCTCGAGCTTCATCACTTATCTGAGAAGGGGGAAAGGAGGGAACTGGGTGCGAATTGGATGGTGCTCAGGGGGGAGATGAAGGCTTACAAGGACGGGAGCTTGGTTAGCTGGGGTTTTGGTGGTGTCAGTGTTTCGTGAGTGGAGGGGACCCCGCTGCCGGTAGTGGGATGCTTGGGTCATGATACAGGCACACAGGGCCAGACAGGGCGATGAGACCGCTATTTGGTGGTTGGGAGGACCCTGGAAGGAGACAAGGAGGCGCCTGACCCCCAAGGTGGCCAGCCCAACGGTCTCGGCGATAAAAAGATACCTTGGTGCTTGGTGGGAGGGTGCTGATGATGTCAGGTAGCCACATATCGCAGGGAGCAGGGGGGGCAGCCCCGCCTTCTTTTCGCAAAATTACCCCGCCAAATCACAGCCATCAATCCCACCACGGACACGGCAAGCTCCATGCGGGTTGAGTCACTCTTCCCAAAATTTCCCAGAGCTTCAACATCGCGACATCCCGACGTCGACTGCGCTCCGTGACAGCCCCCGCCGCACCTCGACAAAGATCGCCGAATTCCTCTTAGACTCTCGCAGCGCCCTGACAGACAACGCGATATCGGTGTATGCTACGAAGCGCCCTATCCAGGTTCCACAGCGCATCCTTCTTCCGAGTTGTCACCATGGCCACCGGCGATCTCGCGCGTACGTTCCTTGTTGTCGACTCGTCTTTACCACCTCTAAGCTAACTTGTGTCTCCTCCAGCATCTGGCTCCAAGCCAACCGAAGACCTCCCCGTCCGTCCCAAGCAAGACACCTTCGACATCGTCAAGACATACCACGACCTCCTCCAAGACCCAGACCTCACAAAACCTGTCGCCGCAATCGAGGCCCTCATCACCCTCCTCAACGCCTCCGGCACGACCACAGTCTACGAAACCCTCGACCTCGTCAAGCGCCACTCCGACATCCTCCGCGCATCCGTCAACAACCCCGTCCCCCTCCAGGCCGGCACAGACCTCTTCCTACAGTACCTCGTCTCCTCGCTTAAGCAGCAGGAGTCCGGCGCCGCAGACACCTCCCCCCACCAGTCTTTCGAGGCCGTCCGCACCCATCTCCTCCGCAACGGCCGCCTGTTCGCCTCCCGCGCCATCGCCGCCCGCGACAGAATCGCCGACGCCGGCTGGCGCTTCGTGCGCGACGGCAAGGTCGTCCTCACCCACGGCGCATCTCGCGCTGTGTCAAACGTGCTGTTCAAGGCCGCGGACCAGTTCGGCGGCGGCGCGAACGGCGGCGGCGTGCGGTTCAAGGTTGTGTACGTCCGCGACGAGCACCGCGTGGCCGAGTCGGACCGCGTCGTGAAGGAGCTACGTGAGAAGGGCATCCCCGTGGCTGAGATTGCCGAGCCGGCTGTGGCGCACGTGCTGGGGCTACTGAGACAGGTGCACATGGTCTTCGTGGGCGCTGAGGCCGTCACGCAGAACGGAGGCATTATCTCCAGGATGGGTACTTACCAGATTGCGAAGCTGGCCAAGGAGGCCGGGCTGCCCTTCTACGTCGCCGCCGAGTCGCACAAGTTCGTGCGCAAGTTCCCGCTCGACCAGAGGGATCTGGGATTCCAGCAGCAGGTGTTGGACTTCAGGACTGACGGGTCGAGTGTGCAGCCGGAAGACGCTGTCGATTACACTGTGGGTCTCCCAATGCTTTCGGTGGTGGACATTTGCTAATGACTTGCAGCCTCCTGACTTTATTTCGAACTTGGTTACAGAGAATGGCGTCAAGCTGCCCAGCTACGTCTTTGAGCAGCTGCTCGACATCTACGGAAGCTTGAACGGTTGAGCAAGCTCAAAAGGTTTGCATTGATAATTGTGGTCTACAGTCTTCAGTCATGATGATAGAGGATGGGTAAGACTAAAGCATCTGCTCAGTCGCGGATGCTGCGGGTTCCGCCTCGGCCGCATTGTGGAGACAAAACCCGGTCCACAAGTCAGCATGGAGCGGCCGACTGTCCGGGAGGGCCTGACCGGTCGGACTTCGCATCCCGCGCGGTCTTACAAACGGATGAATGCTATAGGAAGTGGATGGTCTGTGAAAAGGTACTTGAGGAGTACAAGTCGCTGTAGAAAGATACCTCGCTTACTGCTGCTCAACTCTCACCCCTCCCAAGTGGGCAGAATATGCAGCAGTTCATCGGCAGGACCTGCCCATCCACAAACCCGTTCCGAAAGAATGAAAGCATCGCATTTTGTGCAAACGGCATTCTCGCCGAACTTGACCCACGTTGACCACGTACGTAGGAGTTGTCCTGCACGTAATACCCAACCCTCAACCCGCGAAAGTTTTCCCGCGCTGATGCCCCTGACACGCATCCTCCATCTCCTTGCGTCCCAGGATCCGGCCGAACACGAGAAAACGGAACATGCCTACACGTGTGTACGTGTGTGATGCGGAACTCGGCGGGAAACAGTTTCTTTGCTTTTTCCTCGGTCATGGTCGCGCAAACACCCCCCTCACCCCTCATTTTGAGGCCGTAAAACCCCACATTTTGGGCGCGGGAACCCCCACGAGCGAAAGGGGGTTTGACGTCACGGTCACCGGGTCACATGTATGTAAGACGCCCGCCGCGCCCCCGTGTGCTACCTTGCTGCTTGCTGCGCGGTGTGAGAGTGAGGGGTTTCGTAGGCATCGTGAGGTCTGTCTGCTTGACCCTGGACACCGGGCAAGGGAGGTAGGAGAAGGGGTGTCGGGATGCCGTTTCGGGAAGGACGTGTTGGACGTGTTAGAGGGGTCTCCGTCACGACACTTGACCGGTGAGATGTAATCGTGGTGTTCTTTTTAGGGGAGACTCGAAGTACAGGGTGATGAAGCCCCCCAGAATCGAGCGCGGATGTCATGTTGTTGGCAACTTCGACCTTTCGCAGAGATTCCCATTCCGTGCATTAACAAGTATTGAGTGAGCTTACACCCTGAAATGAGGTATTCAGGACGCGGCAGTCTAGACTTTCCGTCTCAGTCGCTGTCCGTGGCGTATTCCTGAGTAGTATTGTTGGCCCTCGAAAGTCGGGAGAATATCGTCGAAAAAACGACTCAGAATGTGTTCCCACTGGCATCACCACGGATTGCTTGTCTGATTTGACAACCTTCGGCGCTTACTTGTACTTCAATTGCGTTGGGACTGATAGAATTGCTTAAAAGACCCAAAGTCCGCAATACAAGGAAATTCAAGCAACAACATGGAAGAGCTCATATCTCATGATTCCAATTGACTTCAAGTTAAGCCATCCTCACCAATGAGCAAACTATCGTCATCTCGCGCCTCGTCAATAGACCCGGTCTCGCAAAACGTACCTGGGACAATCCTCATTGTCCGTTGACCTTGTTGCCTTGCTCTTATTCCGACACTTATTCGCAAAACCGCTCCTTCGGCCGAACCATACCACAAAAATGTGTTGTGTTCGATGCGATCCGCAACGAGGCCAGAAAGTAGACATATTCGCAAACACGACATATGCCACTTGATCACAGACACAAACAGGCTTAATTATTACAATCAGGCCATGGTAGTCAGTTGGATGGTCATTTTAAAGAAGGCCCAATCTCTGTGATCAGAACCGCATACCGCATCCGGGGCCTCGATGAGCTACGGCTGTTTAAAAAGCTACAAGATCAACGTCTAAGATAAGAAAAACTCATCATCAAATGCGGGAGAGGTCTTGATTTTGATTTCCCGCCTCCTTTTACCTCATAAACAGCGAGACATGGCTGATGAATCGGAACAAGAGCGCAGTTTCCACTTGAATCTCGACTATAGAG